TGCTACAAATAATGCAGATTTAAATGCTAATAAAAATGGGTGCAAATGAAACACTCTTTCTGTGGTCCAGGGAATCTTAACCATTCTATCAGAAGACTCGCAGCTTGGAACTGCAGCTGCCTTCCCACATCCTGTCCACTGTAAAGCCCTGCAACACACACACATGCACACACGCACACACATAAATACATTCACATGCACAAACCTGCGCACACACATGCACATACATACGCATGCATATACCTACACACACACACACACAGAAACACACACACCCTGTGCTTCATGCCCACACCACGGTGTCCTGGGAGAGAATGCATGCTTTTAGGAGAAACTCAGGCCCCTCATTCTCCTGGTGATTGCACAAGTGCCTTCTCTGCAGACCATGCTTCAGTGCCTTTCTTCATTCTCCCTCTTACTGAAAGAGAGAGGCAGAGACCCCTACCCCTGTCGCCCACCACCTCCACCCCTAGGCTGCCCCAGGCCCAGGTTCCAGAAGTCTCCCAGGATCCGGGAACTAAGGACAACCACTGGGTTCCACAGCCACTAGTCCATGGGTCAGGCGCCTCTCTGCGAGCTGACAAACCTTGGCTCTCATGCCCCACACCAAGCCAGCCACACCGCCGTCCCCCCACCAGCATTATTACTGCCTCCTGATGTTAGCCCTGACAATCCTTCTTGCTGATAATCTTGCCCCCTCACACGCTGGTCCAGGCAAGCCCAAAGGCTAGTACCCTCCACCCACCCTTCCTGGGGGCCACTCTACTTTCTGCTTGCCCAGATGTCTTCACCTGGCTTTACCAAGCTAGAACAGATAACAGGGATGAGCCCCCGGCCTCTACCAGGAAGATTTGCCAAAATGCTCTCCATTTAGAAGGAGGAACAGTGATAGGGCCTACGAATGACCCCAGGATTGTCACCCAAGCAACAAGAAGGGCAAGGAAACCAGTTTCCTGCCCTTACCCTGGGAGGATGTGGCCAGGGCACCACAAGGCCCTGGAGAGGGGTGGGTAGGAGAGCAGATCCAACCTCTTCTTCAGGAAGCAGCCACCACCCCAGGAAGCAGCAGATGGGGGTGCACAGGCAGAGCCCCCGGTGCTGTAGAGCAGGGCCAGGAGATCTGTACTCAGCCTCAGCCCCGGGGAGCTGCAAGACAGGCTGAGACCCTGATAGGTTTGGATCTGTGTCCCCACCCAAAACTCATCCCTCCTGTGTCAAGGGAGGAACCTGGTGGGAGGTGATTGGATCTAGAGATAGTTTCCCCCGTGCTGCTCCCTGAGAGTGAAGGAGTCCTCAGGAGAGCTGATGGTTTCAAAGTGTGGCACTTCCTCGTTCTCCACTCACTCCCTCCTGCCGCCTTGTGAAGAAGGTGTCTGCTTCCCCTTCGCCTTCTGCCATAATTGTAAGTTCCCTGAACTGTGAGTCGATTAAACCTCTTTCGTTTATAAACTACTCAGTCTCAAGTATTTCTTTTTTTTTTTTTTTTAACAGAGTTTGAATCTGGTCACCGAGGCTAGAGTGCAATGGCACCATCTAGGCTCACTGAAACCTCTGCCACCCAGGTTCAAGGGATTCTCCTGCCTCAGCCTCCCGAAGTAGGTGGGATGACAGGCGCCCGCCACCACGCCCAGCTAACTTTTTTTGTATTTTTAGTGGAGACGGGGTTTCATCATGTTGGCCAGGCTGGTCTTGAACTCCTGACCTCAGGTGATCCACCCGCCTCAGCCTCCCAAAGTACTGAGATTACAGGTGTGAACCCCCACGCCCGCCTCAAGCATTTCTTTACAGCAGTGTGAAAACAAACTAAAACCCCTTCCCTGAGGTGCCTTCTGCTTAGGCAACCAGCTGCCCCATGTTCCTCCTCTGCCCCTGGTCTTTCTGTTTCCCTGATGAAGGCCAAGTGATAAACAGGGCCAGCCCCAGCCCCAGCCCCATCGTACTGCAGCCCGTGTGGCTGCTGGAGAGGCTGTGCTCCTTTCCTTACCCCAAGGGGCCCAGATACGCTCTTTGGATCCTGGAGGAAACTGACCCCCTATTCTCACACTGGTGCAACTTCTTCCAAGACCTCAAAGCTGGAAAACGTGAGCTGGTCTTTTTAAATGTCTCCACTTGCTAGGGCTGTCACTGGGACAGCACTAGAGGGTGGTGCCAATGGATGAATGGATGGTTGGATGGATGGACAGTAGTCCAGGGATGATGTCCCTGTCTGTACTGAACTGGGCCCTTCCTCCAATGAGAAGCCTTCCTGAGTGAGTTTATACAATTGTCCCTTGGTATCCATGGAGGATTAGTTCTAGGGTCCCGGGGATGCCAAAATCCATGGATGCTCAAGTCCCTGATATAACATGGCCTAGTATTTACATATAAGCTATGCACATCCTCCCATAGACATTAGACCATTACGAGATTATTTATGATATGTAATGCAATGCAGATGCTATATAAATGGTTGGGATACTGTATTCTTTAGGGAATGATGAGAAGAACAAAGTCTGCACGTGTTCAGTAGAGACATAACCATGCAATTTATTTTCTGAATATTTTCCATCTGCTGTTGCTGAATCCACAGATGCAGAGCTCCCAGATATGAGGGCCAAGTGTGCTTTGAGAGTAGGGTGGGTTGGCCGGTCGCGGTGGCTCACGCCTGTAATCCCAACACTTTGGGAGGCCGAGACGGGCGGATCACGAGGTCAGGAGATCGAGACCATCCTGGCTAACACGGTGAAACCCCGTCTCTACTAAAAAATACAAAAAACTAGCCGGGCGAGGTGGCGGGCCCTGTAGTCCCAGCTACACAGGAGGCTGAGGCAGGTGAATGGCGTGAACCCGGGAGGCGGAGCTTGCAGTGAGCTGAGATCCGGCCACTGCACCCCAGCCTGGGTGACAGAGCGAGACTCCGTCTCAAAAAAAAAAAAAAAAAAAAAAAAAAAAAAAAAAAGAGAGTAGGGTGGGTGAGGTTGCTAATGAGTACAGGGGAGCAGGTGTCGATCAGAGGTCCCTGCAATGAGGCAACTGGACGCCCTATCTTGGGACTTGAGACTCCGTTTGAATGGCACAGGCAGACTGAGTCCAGGTCAAAGTTCACCCCTTGAAGCTTCATTTTATCCCAAGCTCTTTCTGGACCCTGGAATTTGGCATCCCCTAGGCCCTGGCAGGAAGGACAGATGAACCAGATTTTAGATAACATGTCTGGAATAGAGTGAGGCCCTACTGTGTACCCAGCACTGTCCCCACAGGATCCTCTAGCTAGAACATTCAAGGGTCATGGAGACAAATACCCAGTTAAAATATCAGAAATTTTAAAAAAGATACCATTAGAGACACGAAAAAAACATTAAGTAATAGTATTAGCATTTGTATTCTGAGATTCAACAGTAGTGGTCACTTTCCTCCAACCTTATGTATATCCCACACCACCCTGGGCGAGGAGGGCTGAGGTTAGGGGACACCCGTGGATGCTCTGATACTGGTCCTGGGCCTCGGGGATGACAGTGATGAGGAACTGGGTGCACACATGAGTGGGGAAGCCAGGCCTGGCCAGAGAAGGCACACACATGTGCACAGATGTGTTTACCCATGTACAGGTGTGCACGCATGCACACACATTGCAGGCAGGCATGTGGCCGCCTCAGGCAGCAGAGGACCCTGACTCTGGGCCCTGCTGACCCGGGCAAGGCCCCACTGTGATGCGTGCCATGACCTCAGAATGTCACTGGTGCTTAGCACCAATCCGCTCTCCGGCCTGCCTCTGTGTTCTACGGCAGTTACCCACGCACAGTGGTATCAGCTACACACGCACAGTGGTATCTGGGACCAGTTTTGTGGACTCAAAGGTTTTCTACCTGAGAGGCATAACGCAGGCCAGCTGATTCATCAGAATCAGGTGAGTGCGACCTGCTCTCGTCCCTCCAGGCTGACCTGGGGACAGTGGCTATGCTGTGGGTGGTGTTGGCCTCTGGGCAGCTACCGAGGAGGGCCATCCCTGAGCACTCACCGGTCGCCCGTTCTACACTGCCCGTGTAGATGATTGGATCTTTCATCCTCATGGTGGCTTCATAGAGTGAGTGCCATTCCCTAGTGTACCCATTCGACAAGTGAGACGTCTGGGGTCAGAGAGGCGGTAACCGGCCTGGGAATCCAGACAGGATCCTGGGTTTTGATCTCAGCCCTGCCATGCGCTGTGCTGGAATTCAGGCCTGAACCCTGTGACCTCCCTGCCCTAGGTCCCAACTCTTCCCAGGTTTCCCATCCCGATGGGGCAGAGTCTGGCCCTGGCAGAGCCACTGGGATAGATCCACTGTGGGTGGGGGGAATAGGAGGGTCCTCAGAACACCTCTGTGCCCTAAGCTGGGTCCTGATGGTGGCTGTGGGCCTCACTGAACACACATGGTCCCTTGTCCTGGGGAACCTTCTGTCCTTGGGTAGCTGTGGAAAATGAAGGAGCCCTGGAGGGCTGGCTGGGGGGAGACTATCTTCCCTTCTGTTCAAAGGGGTCCGGGCACTGGGGTTCTCTCCACATATTTCTTGCTCTGTCTGGTCCTTTCGAGGCCTCGCCCTCCTTTTGCCCCAAGTGTTCCCAGGAGGGATGGTCCATCCAGGTGTTCGCTGGGACCAAGAACCCACTGTCCTTCCTCAGCGACCTGAGAAAATGAAGCCCCCTCCTGTAGGGACAGCTCAGAATGGTGGAGTCCAGTCCCTCCCCGAGTGAGGGGTTCCCCTAGCACAATAGATCATTTTCATCCCCCAAACCGAACACCCTCCTGCTCAACTGGCATTATTCCTAAAGTGGCTTCACTGTTCAGACTCAACGGCCACGGGAGCCAAAGTGATGAGCGGAGAAGAACAGAGCAGTCAGGAGAGATCTTGTTCCCTGTAGGAAACTGGACATCTCTGTGGTCCTGAGCATCCCAGGAGGCCGATTGTACAGAGACCTCTGGTCACTGACCCCAGTCTCCCTCCACATCCCTGGAATAGCCCATCATGGGCCCTTCACTCTTGGCAGGTGGACACTATTCAACCTGCTGGGGCAGGTGTGTCCCCATTTCATGGCAGTTGGGGACGACGGGATTCTCTGTCCAGGTCCCACTGTCCTCAAGTGCTTGGGATGATGCCCACCCCTGCTTGGGACTGGGGACTCCAGAGACTCCTGCAGGTGTGGGACACTAGGTCTGGCACCTGTTTAACTGGGGAAGGTGATGGAGTCGGGGTTACACGGCCAGCCAGCATCTGGGAGCCTGGCGGGAACGGTTCAGGTGTTCTCCAAAGGTCTCAAGTACAATGTAACTTTTAGATGATTTTTGTCTCACAGGATGGTAATCATAGAGGATGCAGATAGTTTGCGGGCACAGGAGCGAGAGAATATCATCATGAACTATGAGAAGGTACACGTTGGTCTGTTCCTTGGAGGGAGGCCTCTTCCAGTGCGCCCTGGTCAAAGGGTCCTGGGCTCCCTAGGAGCACAGAGTGGGCACGGGTGGCCACTACCCCCAGGCCCTTGCACCCTTTGCCCTGGACCCCTCACCAAGCCTCCCTCTGGGTTACAGGGACACCGAGCTGGGCTGCTAGAGGACATGGGGCCTGAGCCTGTTGGAATCTACAACAACATTGATCGCTTTGGGATTGTGCAGTGAGTCCTCTGTGCTCCCCTCACCCCTGAAGCACCTGTCTCAGCTCAGGGATGGGTTTGCTTTCAGAAAGGCCTTTCTGAGGCAGGACTGCCTCGCCGGGTCAGGCCAACCTCCTTTCCAGGGTCAGAACTCCTCCCTGACTCCCCTGCAGGTCCAGCCCGAGGTTGCTGTTAGGCCAGAGGTGCGGGGCCCATCTAGGGAGCGGGTGGGAATGGAGACTGGGCTAGGTCAGGCCCCTGGACTCTCAGCAGTTCTGTCCCCAAGTCAGCACAAGAGGAGCGGGGCAGCCTGAGCGTCTGGCCATGTCTACTTGGAAACAACCCCAGTGAAATCCAAGGGTTCTGGCTACAGGGTGAGGGGATGCCTGGCCTAGCCTCAGGGCTGTTGTCCAGCAGGTCTCTGAGGGCCCACCTGCCCCTGTCCTCCCTCATTTCCCTAGAGATACAGCCCTCACTGTCCCCATGGGGAAGGGGGAAAGGCATGGGAACGATGGGAGCGGTGGCCCTAGGAGAATGGGGGAGGAGATGGGCAGGGCCCCGTTCTGGGTATTTCATGGTGAGGTCAGGGAGGCAGCAGGGCTTGTGGCTAGAGACCCTGGGTCTGGTGCTGGGAAAGGACCTGGGGCCATGAGAGGAGCCCAGCCAGGAGTCCATCCCTTAGGGTTCATAGGATGGAGAGACAGAGGATGCCGGGGGAGGTAGGGTGGGAGGGAGCTGATGAGTTGTGCCACTTCTGAAACGCAGGGTGTGTGGGTCAGGTGCAGGGAGAGGCAGGTGGATGCTGGGAGTCAGAACCTGCAAGGGCCTTGGGGCTGTTAAGTGGGATGGGGCCCTGGTACACCAGGACTACACCGGGCAGGTCTCAGGGCAGGCTCCCTTGACCCTGGTGGTGTGATGTGGTCACTCCCTGAGGGACTCCTGACAGGGCCCAGTCGCCCACTCTGGGCGGCCCCCATCCCATCTCAGGGCTGACCTTTCTCAGCTCCAGCAGAAAGCACCACCTCCAGTCCAGGACGGGCAGCCCCATTGTGCAGCCTGACCACCCCCCACGCCAGGAGCCCCAGTAACCCCGGCCAGGCTGGCCCCGCACTCCTTCTTCTCCCAGGTCCTGCCCCTCCTGGGAGTCAGCCCCACAGGAAGGCCCTTGTCCTCCCTTCCCTGTGTCTTTTCCTGGACTGAGCCCTGAGCTAGATAGGGATATAGCCTGTCCTTTCTGGGGGTTGGGTCCCAGTCTCGGGGAGCTCCAGGCCCTGTGCAGGTCCTCAGTTCTGCCTGGGTTGTCTTACAGTGAGACAGAGCTGCCTCCTGCCACTGCTCGGGAGGTGAAGGTAAGAGCCTGATGCATGGGGAGGGGCAGAACCAGGAATGTGGGGACTGGGCAGGTGGTCGGTGAGGCAGAGGAGGCAGCTGGCCTGGGCGGTGGCGGGTGAGGGCAACACGATGTCCCTGGGAGGGGCAGCACTCCCTGCTGGAACTGACCCCAGGCTGCTGTAACTTTGACAGCTTGATAAGATTCCAAAGTGAGAACCACAGTTGTGGCTTGGGGGTGGCTGCCTGCCTGTGTCAGGACCCCACCTAGAGGCTGGGACCTGACCTAAGACTGCTGTGTCTGTGGCCTGAGGATGGCACGTCCCGGGGTCCCAAAGCCAGCCCACTGGCGCTCATTTGCTCAAAGGCTCTCAACCCTTAGGGTCTGCCCTTCCCTGGCTCCCTCCAGCTGGGTCCACCAGGGTTCCAGAGCCCAAGACGCAGCATCCACGGGTGGCTCTGGGAAGCCTGGCAGCTCCCCTAACTCCAACATTCCTCATTTGACAGCAAATGCGGCGGGAGATAACACGAAAGAGCAAGTGGATGGAAATGCTGGGACAGTGGGAGACATATAAGAACAGTAAAAAGGTAATGTGTGGAGGGAGAGGCCCTGGGAACCACTCTGCAGAGACAGGGGACGGGCACCCATGGCTGTGGCCTGGCATCGTCAGCCTCTCAGAGGGTGGGTGGCACACTGTCCTCACCCAGAAGACTGCAGGCCTGGTCGGTGGTTTGCCTGCCTATTCGTGCAAGCGTCACCTTGCTGGGAGGGAATCTGAATCTAGCGCTGGGACCACCCGGAGCTCAAGGCTAGGGATGCCCTGGTGACCCAAAGGAAGGACAATGTTCAGATCAGAGTTCCGACTCTGAGTGCCCATCCACTCTTTCAATCCTGGGAAGGGAGACTGTGTCCCAGCTTAATGTCAGCTCTAATGAAGAATCATGGGGCCAAAACCAACCATTTCCAGAATCCTCGGGCTCTGGTCCTCACTGGGGTCGCCCCGTGGCCTGTGACACCAGGTTGTTTTCTGCCCACAGCTGAGAGATCGAGTATATAAGGGCATTCCCATGAACATCCGGGGCCAAGTGTGGTCAGTCCTGCTGAACATACAGGAAGTCAAGTCGAAAAACCCCAGAACATACAAGGTACACTCAGCCGGAGCACGACAAACAGGACAGGCCGTGTCAGGGGCTCAGGTCTCCAGCTGGAGGGAGCATCAAGCCCAGGCTGGGGGGTGGGTAGGATGGTCAGATGCACATCCTGGGCACGGACGGTGACATAGTCGCCACAGACAAACTCGGCTCTGGTGACCCTCCCCGGCTTCAGTAACAAGCCAAAAAGCAGCTTTGTGCAGAAGGAAACCTTCCTGCTTTCCTTCCTTCCCGGAGTGCTGACTGTGGGCTGACTGCCATTTGGGGTTGGGAGTCTTCCATCCGTTCTGAGGCTGCTTCCTCCTCTTGGCCCTGCCCTACAGGTCATGAAGGAGAAGGGCAAGAGGTCATCTGAACACATCCACCAGATCGATGTGGACATGAGCAGGACATTAAGGACTCACATCTTCTTCAGGGATCGATACGGAACCAAGTAAGCCTATGGGAGCCACAGGGTCTCATCAGAGATGGAGTGAACGAAAGGGATGGGGGCTTCCCCGGAGAAGAGGCCAGGGTCACCCAGGAGGGATGACAGAGCTGCCAAGACCTCCCCTGACCCACGGAGCAGCCGGCACCATGAACTGAGCACCTGGTTCCAAGCCCTGGGCCAGACTGGAACATGTGGGGCCAGAACCCAGGAGGATCCTGAGGAGACAAAAGGCAGCAAACAAAATCATGCACAATGGTGAAAGGTGCTCTCCCTGACACACGGGGACCCATGGTAGGACTCACGGGAGGGTGGCAGGATGGAGGGCCCATGAGCCTCTCCAGGCAACACTGACAGCACCAAATGCTGGGGCAATTAGGGGTCCTGGAAACTGTCATCCTGGTCTGCTGGGAACAGGACATGCCACAGCCACTTTGGCAGACAGTTTGGCAGTGACTCACAAAGCTCAATGGACTTGAACCACGTGTCCCCAAAGTATCACAAATATTGAACCCACTGATTTGAAAACTGATGTCCACATGAAACCTGCATGCCACGTCCGCTGCTTGATTCATCGTCACTCACACAAGGAGCCTTCGGGGACAGTCTTCAACATGGGAAGGGGGAGAGCAAGGCTGGTCCTCCCTTCAAACGGAAGACCCAGTGAGAAAAGGGAATGAGCCAGTGATGCCCGCACGAACGCGGGTGGATCCTAGATGCATTTTGCTGAGGGAAAGAAGCCAGACCCAATAAGCTACCACGTAGGATTCCCATTCCTGGGCCATTCTGGAAAAGGCCAAACCATAGGGATTGAGACGCAGTCTGGGTGGTCGGGGGCTGAGGGATCAGGGAGAGGCCGGGTGCATAGGGGCCACCGTGGAGACTTGGAAGATGAAGGAGTCACTTCAGGAGGGGCTGGAGCGGTCGCCAGGAGACTCTGCCCATTGGTTTAGAACCGTGGAGGAACTGTACACCCAAAGGCTGAATTGGCGTGTCTGCAAACTGAAAATAAAGAAAGAAAATCATTCAGAGTGAAAAGGATCAGGCAAGTCACTGTACAACTGGGCTATCTGCATGTCACAGATGTGGATTTTACTGAAACATTTCCTCAAAGTCAAAGGCCCTGAAGAGCTCACTGCTTATCTGGTGAATCATCTGAACCTAAAGTGGGATTTGTTGTTAGGCTTTGTGGACAAAGTGAAACTTACGGCATCTGCACAAAACAAACAAAAGCCTCATTTCTCTGTTTCCTAGGCAGCGGGAACTATTCTACATCCTCCTGGCATATTCGGAGTATAACCCGGTGAGTATTCCCGGCAGTGACGTTCCCGGGCAGTATTTCCCTGTTCACAGGAGTGGGTGTCTGGTGGGGGTGTCGCTGCTTCTTTGAAAATTAGTATTTGTGAGCCACCAGGATATAGGAGGTAGGACTCCAGCTCACTGCTGGCATAAACCTCCAAGCAAGGGGGTGGTCTCAAGGGGTCAAGCTGAGACACAAAGGAGTCGGGGCCTGGACTCCTGGTGTCACCTGGGTCTGACCACCACTTCTCAGAACAAGAAATGACGCCCTCCTCTTGGGGCTGCCCCAAAGCCCAGGAGCTTGGCAGGGTCGCATGCGGGATGGTGCCATCAGGAGACAGTTTGGACAAGGTGCTGAAGTGCCTGATGGACTTGGCTCTTGTCATGAAATGAATTTGCATCCTGAGGAAGCCTCTTCATCAGAGGAAGCCTCCCCAGTCACCTCTGCCCTCTCCAATGACATGAGTCCTCCCAGGTGACCTCAGTCCTCCCAGGTGATGTCCTTTCACGGTGACTCTGGCTCTTGCAGGAGGTGGGCTACCGCAGGGACCTGAGCCACATCGCGGCCTTGTTCCTCCTGTATCTGCCTGAGGAGGATGCATTCTGGGCACTGGTGCAGCTGCTGGCCAGGGAGAGGCACTCCCTGCAGGGTAGGTGAACAGGTGCCCAAAGGACCTCATGCAGCCAGACCCAGGGACGGCCACCCTGGCCAGATGATCTCAGCTTTCAGCCAAGGCACCTTCCTTGGCCAACTCCTTGGGAGTCTTTAGGATGTCTCTGCTGAGGGTCCCACAGGAGTCCGCGGCTGACCCCAAAGCCCAAGTCAGACGCCTTTCATCCCCATCAGCGGAGGGCATCTCATCCTCCCCGTGGCCACCCTCTGTGTCCTGCTGCCACGCCCTCTGGATCTGATTGTGTAGCTGACTCTCCAATCCCTGAGAATCCTGCTGCCCTTGGTGCCCATGAACGGGCCGACCAATCCCAGGTGGCAGCATCTCCCCAACCCGTGTCCCCTGGCCTGAACTCACTTCCAGGAGACGACCAAGAGCCCAGCACCCACCCTGCTCTGGCTGCCGTGTGGTGGCCTCAAGTCATGTTTGCCCTTTTTGCACCCTGGTCCAGGAGGCGTCCAGGGGAACCTCCAGCCAGGCTCCAGGGGATGTTCCTGCCCCACGTCCCCAGGGCAAAGGCTGCATGGTGGGTCACCAGATGGGAGGGTGAAAGGCCTTGAGGTTTGGGGGCCTCTCCAGCTGCCCAGCTCTTCCTGCTGATGGCTCCACATCTTGGGGGAAGGCTCTGATTTCTTGATGGGCTTGGGGCTTCTCAGGATTCCACAGCCCAAATGGCGGGACAGTCCAGGGCCTCCAAGACCATCAGGAGCATGTGGTCCCCACGTCACAACACAAGACCAGGTGGCATCTGGTGAGTTTATGGCGTCTGGTGAGCAAGCTTGGGCTCTTCCCCAGAGACTCTGCCTCCCGTGGAGCTGGAGGAACGGGGACTGGAGCCCCTGGTGGGGCTGGTGACTGGCTGAGTCCAGCCAGGGCCTGACCTGGGACGTCAGGTTCTCCATGGGCTGGGAGTTGGTTTCCTTTCCTGCCCTGGAGGAGACAGAGGCACAGGGATGGGGGCCCAGCTCCCGCAGAGCAGGGCAAAGGGCAGTGTGTCCACCGGGAGTGTGGGAAGGGGCCGGTGTTGGGGGGAGCCCTGGACACCGCCCAGTGTTCTGCACTAGGGGAAGGGTCTTCAGAGGCCCTGGAAGAGGGAGGTTTTTAGGGCAGCCCAGGGGGCCCTGAGCACCTCTGTTCCTCCCATCAGGACAAGGAAGGTCTTTGCGCGCAGGGTTCCTCCTTAGGCTGGCTTCTCCAGACGTTGAATGACGGGGTAGAAGGCACAGGGAGACCCTGGCTCAGGGACCCTCCTTGCCCTGCAGTGCCCTGCTTCCCCAGCCCGGGGGTCTGGGTCAGCCACAGCCCACAGGAGGCTCCGCCCACAGGGGGGCCCTCACAGGACACCCAAACCAAACCCTCTGCCCAAGAGGGGTCATCCCAGGGCAATGACTGGAGCTCCAGGACCACCTTATAGGCAGACTGGGCCAAGACCTGACTTGGGAGGGATCAGGGAAGCCTCAAGCCTGGGCAAGCCCCTCTCTCCAGGAGCCACACCCCCACTCCAATGAGTGCCCCCCATGAGGAGCTGCAAGACCTTGTCTGACCCAGCGCCCTGGAGGGCTCAGGAAACCCTCATGGGGAGGTCACTGGACTCTGGGGACTGAAGCCCCAGTGGGCTCCAGTTCGAGCCACCAGCCCCAGCCTGGAAGGGCTCAGTCTCCACACCTGCTATCCCCCAGATCTCTCTTGGCTCACCCTGCGCCTGTGGGACGTGTATTTGCTGGAAGGAGAACAGGTGTTGATGCCGATGACAAGCATTGCCTTTAAAGTTCAGAGGAGTAAGTCTACATGTGCCAGTGGGGCCTGGGGAGCCCTGGGGTCAGACGCTGACTTACCCGAGGCACTTCCTCACACTGTCCTCATGATCCTCTGTTCTGGCCAGAGGGAGGCTGGCCAGGTGGGGCTGGGCAGGCACAGTGACACCGAGCCCGTCCCCCACATGACCCAGATGAATGTTGTGAGCACTTCCCTACCCACTTCCCCCGCCACAGTCTCCTGTGCACATCCAAACCCCTGGGGTGGCCACAAAGATTCCCGGCATCGCCTAGTGGGAGACTGAAGTGGCACGGGGTATCAGCTGTGCCCCTCCCAGGGAACTCTCTGACCTGGATGTCCACCCTGTCCCTAGAGCGCCTCATGAAGCATCCAGGTCTGGCCTGTGGGGCACGGTTTCGGAACCTGTTCTTCCATACCTGGGAGTTGGATGATGACTCTGTGCTCAAGCATCTTAGGGCCTCTACGAAGAAACTAACAAGGAAGCAAGGGGGACCTGCCACCCCCAGGTGAGCTCCAGTGCCATGTCCCCCCATGCACCCTCTGGGGCAGTCCATAATAGGGGAGTGCCCGAGACCCGCAACCCTACTACCTGGGCCTTCCTCTTCACCTTTTCTTCCTCCTCTTCCTCCTGGACTCTAAGAAAGTACAGGAGGCCACCGTCCTCACGGCAGGCGCTCAGTGCGTGTGTACTGGATGTGATGTGCCCGCAGGAGGGCGATGTGGGCAAGACCTTCCAACAAGCCGCCTCCCACATTCCACAGTGTCTCTGTTCCCCCATCACAAGGCCATCAAGGGCACTAAAGAAGCCAGACCCATTTGTGGGAAACCCCGCCCTCCCTGCAAGCACCCACAGCCTCAGAGAGCAGCAGAGGCCCCCACTCCTGCACGTCTCCTCCAAGGTTTCCCAGGAAACCAAGCCTTGAGCCAGGGAGACAAGGAATCGGGTGTCCCTGACCCAGAGCTTCAGGGAGAGGGCACAGGCTGCACCCAGGCGAGAGCCAGAGCCAAGATTCAGCCAGATGTGGAACGGTCCAGTCTGGCATGGACTGGGCAGCCCAGGAAGGCAGAGGTACCACATCCAGGTCCAATCACCCACTGTGGAGATGGGTCCCCATGTGAGGTGACAAGGGGCTGCGGTGACATCCAAGTCCCCTCCCACCTGAGTTCTCACTGGGGGCTGTATCCCTGCCCAACAGCCTGGACGAAGGTGTGTGGTAGGATCCCCCAGCCAGTCCGAACCCTGGGGGCAGTCTAGGGCTACTGTCATGCCCTGATAGCTTCCCCCTGCCAGGCAGCACACACCCTCCTCTGGGACGCAGCAACACAGGGATGTCCCTCCGTGTTCAGACCCCGGGCCACACAGAGATCCTGAGGACTCCAGGACCCAGGGCAGTGGGGCCTGGCGGGAAAGGCCTACATGGGCTCAGTGGAGACGCTGACCACGTCTGTTTTTCTTTTCAGCCAAACCCGAGCAAGGGTCTCCGGCACCGAGCCTGTGCTGATTCAGAGTGGCAAGAATGACCCTCTGCAAGGGGGGACAGGCAGCCCTCCAGGCCCACCAGCCCGGTTCCAGCGGCCCATTTTTGGTTAGTTTCCCACCATGGGCACCTCGTTCTTCCACATCTTGTCCTGTGTGGGCTGTCCGGAAGACACCTACCCTGTGGGCCTCAGGATGTGGCCAGCCGTCCCGGCTCAGGGAAGACCTCAGGGTTCCTGGAGTTCCTGGAGTGGACTCGATGCCCGCTCCCGACGACCTGGATGTAGGGGCCCTTGGTTCCCCCATTATGATTTCGAACAGAGCTGCTGGGTCCGTGTCCCTTCTGAATGTGTCCTGGACAGCCCGGGACTGTGGGACAGGGCCAGCTCGAGAAGCCCGCGGGGACCCTGACACCAGGCCCTGCCCAGGCCCATCAGGACTGAGGGAGGCCAGGAGATATCCCACTACAACAGGGCACCCCGTCTACGGACAAGAGACTTGCACCCAATTTCTACAATGGCACCGTATCCCAGGAAGACCAGCTGGCCACCTGCTGGCAGGCGGAACACCCTGCGGAGGGGGTGAGATTGGCTTTCACCGCACTGAGCCACAATGTGGACATGGACTTCCAGCCAGCCCTGCCCTGCACCCAGCACTGATTCCAACCAGGACAGCTCCTTACAGCTAGGGACGAGCAGCAGCGCGCTCCCACCTCAGGGCCTTGCCTCTGTCACCTCTACTTGGAAAATTCTCATTTCCCTCCAGGGTTCTAGAAGCATCTGGGGCAGGGCTCATGGCTGGATAACTTCCCAAGACTTAACAACCCAAGCAAACTTCACGTCCTCGTTTTTTTTTGTTAAACTTATGAAAATTGATTAAGAAAGTGTGCAGCTCGAAAGACCTTCACAGATGGAACACACCAGCCCCCAGATCACAAAGCCAACCATGCCCAGCCCCTCCCAGCACCCCCAGCCGTGTGACCAGCTTTCTGAATTCCCACAACACCGTGTGCCTGCCTTTGTGTTTTCAACTCATAGATGATTAACCCCTTCATGTTTTAAAATAAATGTTTTCTGTTGAAATTAGTTTAGATATAAAAGATTGAAAAGGCACTACAGTGGCCTCCTACACCTTCCATCCAACTGCCCCTAATAATGACGTTTTGCAGTTCCATGGCACATAACAAATTTAGACTGGGTGTGGTGGCTCACACCTGTAATCCCAGCAATTTGAGAGGTCGAGGCAGGACGTTCAGGTTCACTTGAGTCTAGAAGTCTGGGACCAGCCTGGGAAACACAGGTGGACCCTGTCTCTAGAGAAAAGACAAAGAAATTAGCCTGGCATGGTGGCGGGTGCCTATGGTCCCACTTAGGAGGCTGAGGCAGGATTGCTGGAGCCCATGAGTTCCAGAAAGCAGTGAGCCATGACTGCACCACTGCACTCCAGCCTGGGTGACCGAGTCAGACTTCCCCTCTTAAAAAAATTAGCAATTTAACGTGGGTACAATCCTATTAACTAAATAATAATGTGAACTATTATCTAAGGTTATTAAGGCTGGAATTATCCTATTTTTGCCTAACTTCTCATACCTGTCCCTAGATCCCACTTCGGACTCACCCTCTGCCTTCAGCTCATGTCACCTCAGCTTCCTCCAGATGGTTCAGCAAACACACACCTGGGCTGAATGGTAGAGCTGATTGCTCGTACACAAGGGGAGACCTGTGGGCCGGGGTTTTCAAACTTATACAGCAAATGAGTTTTCCATGGTGTTCTGGAGAGCACCCTTTGAGAAACACTTTGACAGTGAATCCAGGCCCCAGTATCCATCAGCTGATCTAGTGAATTTTGTGGAAGCTCAGTGAACACCTGCTCTGCAGGGTGCATGTGAAAGGGGTGAGGATGAGTAAGCTGCAGATAAAGAAGACAGGACACAGGGGGTCTGTCGAAGCTCTATCCCTGCCTTCAGCCCTGACGGATCAAATCCAACTCTTAGGGAATGGTGGCCACATGCTGGGCCAGCTCCAGGCTCTGAGGATCTGAGAGTGAGTGATGCAGAGCCAGGCCTTGCCCTCGGGGAGCTCCCCAGTACACCTCCCTCTACCCTCCCAGCCCCGCAAAGCAGGCGTCAATGTCATTGTTAATGCACAGAGGAGGAACCTGACTGTTAGACAGGTTCATGGGTTTTCCAGGGTTGCACGGCTTCTGGGAGACAGGTGTGACCCTGAGGACAGGGCACAGGCCAGTGTAATGCCAGGTTGGAATGAGCTGTGATCTGTACCATGTAGAGGCCTAGGCCAAGGTGGGAGTGACTGATGACCAGGTCAGCCAGGTGGCTGAAAACACTCTTGGGTCCTCACCTGCTGGCTCCCAGGAGT